AGGAAAGCTGTACCGCACCGCACCCTTCGCTAAAGCGAAGATTTATCACCCTTCCCTTGAGGAAAGCTGTACCGCACTGCACCCTTCGCTGAAGCGAAAATTTATCATCCTTCCCTTGAGGAAAGCTGTACCGCACCGTACCATTCGCTGAAGCGAAGATTTATCACCCTTTCCTTACCTTGCTGCTAATCATTCTGTTTTTCTTTTTTCTCTTCCACTTTAGGACTACTGCCGAAGTACTCGAATAACTGCTGTGGGAAACTAGTATTACAGGTATGGATGTTGAGAACTAAATCATTTGCATTTTGTCTTTCCAAAGTAATTTCTCAAATATTGTGCATAATTTACCCAATTCATTAGGGATTCGTCCCTTGTTATTTTTTTAAAAATTCGTTTCTATTAATGGTTGTGTTCAGAAAAAGAATTGGCATATGAATGCAAATAATGCAAATGTCTGACGCGTTTCCTTTTATCTCCGTATTTACTAGCTCTATCTTATCTCCAGTCTTCTCTAAACCTTCATTACGTGCTTTTCGAGCAAGTTAATCGTAATTCCCAAGCATTGTATGTACGTGGCATAGCACTGTTCTTCCGTCTTCTCAAAAAAATATCAAGATATCAATTCGGATGTATTTATGATGTTTTTCATTCTTTATGCTTACTTTTTGGTCTGCTTTCATTGACTCGAGCATCAAAATGCCACCAAAAACTGCTAGTAATTTATTACCCTTCCCTTGAGGAAAGTTATACTGCACCGCACCCTTCGCTGAAGCGAAGATTTATTACCCTTCCCTTGAGGAAAGCTGTATCGCACCGCACCCTTCGCTGAAGCAAAGATTTATCACCCTTCCCTTGAGGAAAGCTGTATCGCACCACACTCTTTGCTGAAGCGAAGATTTATCACCCTTCTCTTGAGGAAAGCTGTACCGCACCGCACTCTTCACTAAAGCAAAGATTTATCACCCTTCCCTTGAGGAAAGCTATACCGTACTGCACCCTTTGCTGAAGTGAAGATTTATCACCCTTCTCTTAAGAAAAGCTGTACCGCACCGCACCCTTCACTGAAGTGAAGATTTATCACTCTTCCCTTGAGGAAAGCTGTACTGCACCGCACCCTTCACTAAAGCAAAGATTTATCACCCTTCCCTTGAGGAAAGCTATACCGCACCGCACCCTTCACTAAAGCAAAGATTTATCACCCTTTTCTTGAGGAAAGCTATACCACACTGCACCCTTCGCTGAAGTGAAGATTTATCACCCTCCCCTTAAGGAAAGCTATACCGCACCGCACCCTTCGCTAAAGCGAAGATTTATCACCCTTCTCTTGAGGAAAGCTGTATCACACCGTACCCTTTGCTAAAGCGAAGATTTATCACCCTTCTCTTGAGGAAAGCTGTACCGCATCACACCCTTTGCTAAAGCGAAGATTTATCACTCTTCCCTTGAGGAAAGCTATACCACACCGCACCCTTCGCTAAAGCAAAGATTTATCACCCTTCCCTTAAGGAAAGCTGTACCACACTGCACCCTTCTCTTGAGGAAAGCTATACCGCACCGCACCCTTCGCTGAAGCGAAGATTTATCACTCTTCCCTTGAGAAAAGCTATACCGCACCGCACCCTTTACTAAAGCGAAGATTTATCACCCTTCCCTTGAGGAAAGCTATACCGTACCGCACCCTTCGCTAAAGTAAAGATTTATCACCCTTCCCTTAAGGAAAGCTGTACCGCACCGCACCCTTCGCTGAAGCAAAGATTTATCACCCTTCCCTTGTGGAAAGCTGTACCGCACTGCACCCTTCGCTAAAGCAAAGATTTATCACCCTTCTCTTAAGGAAAGCTATACCGTACCGCACTCTTCGCTGAAACGAAGATTTATCACCCTTTCCTTAAGGAAAGCTGTATCGCATCGCACCCTTCGCTGAAGCAAAGATTTATCACTCTTCTCTTGAGGAAAGCTATACCGCACCGCACCCCACCCTTCGCTAAAGCGAAGATTTATCACCCTTCCCTTGAGGAAAGCTATACCGCACCGCACCCTTCGCTGAAGCGAAGATTTATCACCCTTCTCTTGAGGAAAGCTGTACCACACCGCACCATTCGCTGAAGCGAAGATTTATCACTCTTTCCTTACCTTGCTGCTAATCATTCTGTTTTTCTTTTTTCTCTTCCACTTTAGGACTACTGCCGAAGTACTCGAA